CTACTTCTGGTGTTCAGAGGGTCCGGTGGCGCCGGTGCATGGCAGCCCCACCTCTGTCAGTGTGCCCCAGGGCAGCTGTGGCTACAGTGTAGCTTACCATCATCAGTGTGTGAATGTGAGTGTGAATGGGTGAATGTCTGTTAGTGTAAAGAGCTTTGGGGTCCGGAGGGACTTGAACCATTTACCATAAATGGAAATCAATGCAGAGTCCCCACAAGAATAGAAAAACTTACTGCATCAGCTTCAGCCATTATCTGTCTGTCTGGTTACCAAAAAACACACAAAATAGAAAAGATATCTTTATCTCACAACTGCTCACCAACCTGTACACACACACACACACACACACACACACACACACACACACACACACCAGGAGATGATGGGTTTGATTGGACTGGCTGCGGCTGCAGATAACAGAGAAACCAGAACATTGTTGGAACAGATTCTGAAAGTGTTTCAGCTCTCAGACAGTTTTTACTTTGTTAAAGTTTTACTCTGGTGGGATGGTTTACACTCTGTGGGCTGTGATTAACTGCATGGAAACATAGTGAAGCAACAGTGTTGTGTGTCATTACTGAGGCTTTTCTAGCTGTGTGTGTGATTGTGTGATTGTTTGCGTGAGCTGAGAAAGGTTGTGGGTCACGGTGGATTTCCTGTTGTTTGAGGTTGACAATCAGAAAAAGCTAAATAAGAGGAAAAAGCAGAGACCACCGAGGTTTTTCCACTTATCCTGCATCAGTGACAGAAAGATGAACTCACACTTTAACTTTTTGTTGTTTTGTTTGTCCTCTGCAGTGTGTTTGTGTGTTTGTGTGTTTGTCCTCTGCAGTGTGTTTGTCCTCTGCAGTGTGTTTGTGTGTTTGTCCTCTGCAGTGTGTTTGTGTGTTTGTCCTCAGCAGTGTGTTTGTGTGTTTGTCCTCTGCAGTGTGTTTGTGTGTTTGTCCTCTGCAGTGTGTTTGTCCTCTGCAGTGTGTTTGTCCTCTGCAGTGTGTTTGTCCTCTGCAGTGTGTTTGTCCTCTGCAGTGTGTTTGTCCTCTGCAGTGTGTTTGTC